CTTTCCTAAACTAAATCTCTGCCTTAATAGCATCTTCTTGAAGCTACATTTTGTCAGGGAAGATAGTGTGAGTGGGTTTCTCTGTGTATATATGTGGTTTGTGACCTGTACGGAAGTGTCCCTGAGCTAAGGACACACTTATAAAGTCTCAATCAGAAGAGTCTCTCCCTAGGCGCAATGATCAACCTCTCAAGAGACTGTGTGCTCAGTGAACACATTTGAGGAGAAATTAACCTGGATGCGGTCTTTGGCGTGTTCCACTGAGACTTCCCAGAGAAGTATTCACTCCCTAATCTCTCTGACAGACACAGTCTGCGTCTGAAGAGGATTTTAAACCTTTAAATCTGTTCCAGTCTTTGCATGAAATACAGATGACTTTTAATGTGTTTGAGCAAGCGAGAGAGATAAAGAGAGAGGAGAGACTTATGCTCATAATAGCATACAGTATACTACAGCACTCATGGGACTTTTTGTTATTTGATTTTTTTTATTTTATATTTAATTTAAATTTTTTTATATGTATTGGCAGTAATTATAGATATTCAAATTTAAAGTGAGGAAAATGCAGTTTTTCAAGTATTTGTGGATTATGTATTTTTTTTGTATACAGGTGCATCTCAATAAATTAGAATGTCATGGAAAAGTTCATTTATTTCAGTAATTCAACTCAAATTGTGAAACTCGTGTATTAAATAAATTCAATGCACACAGACTGACGTAGTTTAAGTCTTTGGTTCTTTTAATTGTGATGATTTTGGCTCACATTTAACAAAAACCCACCAACGCTTCCTGGGGTGTTACGCATTTTCGGGGGAAGGGTCCATAGGTCCTCATATGGCTTGTTAACTGAGGGGTGTTACAGAGTATTTGTTAAATATAGCTAACAAAATATATATTGTGTGTTTGATTGGTCCAGACGCTACAGTGATGTGATGCTAAATTTCTCCAAATCTGTTCTGATAAAGAAACAAAGTTTACATCTTGTATGTAGGTCATCTAAGTGTAAGTGAATTTTCTGCAAATTTTCATTTTGGGTGAACTATTCCTTTAAAATGTATTAGTATATTTCACAATAAAGGAGCATAATTGGGATAGGAGCTCATAAAATGGTAAATAAATAGTACAATAGTACATAAATACATGTACATAAATACCTTTATGGTTTAGACTCAGTCAATATACCAAAATGCATAAACATTAAAGTGACATGACATGTGGCCAAGTATGGTGTTCCATGGTGCTCTGCATTTTCTGCATCACTAATCACAGCAGTGAGTATAGTGAACACACACCCAGAGCAGTGGGCAGCTATTTTCGCCCGGGGAGCAGTTGGGGGTTCAAATGCTTTGCTCAAGGGTCTCACCTCAGTCGTGGTATTGAAGGTGGAAGAGAGCGCTGGTCATTCACTCCCCCCAATCCCAGCCGGTACCGAGACTCGGACCCGCAACCTTTGGGTTGCAAGTCAGGCTCTCTAACCATCAGGCCATGATTGCCCCTGAACAGCGGCTTCAAAACTGCAGGCGGGCTCGTCCAGGATATGAACCCGGGACCTCTTGCACCTGAAGAGAGAAGCATACCCTAGAGTAGACCAACAAGGCACACATATTATATATACGTAAATACTAATTGGAAATGTTTCCTACCAGCACTCAATACTAAATAAAAAATATGTTTAAATGCAGTTTTTCTTGCGGCTCTGTTTGCTATCTTGAAGGAGATTTATTTGTCAAACGTCACGGTGAACTATGAAAAATGCATGCACAGCTGCCTCACAGCAGTTACATGCCTGTGATGTCTGAAATTGCTATCTAGGTAGGAATCTCCCTAGGTTTTGACACAGAGTCTATCTATCTGTTTGGAACTTTTGGTAAATTATTGGACTGAATTAGATGCTTGAGATGCGCATGAATGTTTGTGTCTTACTGCTTTATAATGCATTTTGCAATCTACGGTATATACTGTAGTCATGAAGTCTATATAACAGCAGGAGTGTAGTGCTGTATTTTAACAGACTGATTAAAATGGAATAGGTCTGTCCTCTCTGCCAGTGCAGTCTCCATCCTTCACTGGACATGCACTATTAAAATTAAAGCATTCACATGTGCCAAAAAAGAAATACGCTCGTTTATGCCCTACCCTTGAGTAAGGCCCAAAATTTCCTCAAAGACATCACAAAGACTGCAGCAGTAACTTTTTGGTGTACAGACCCACATATACATACACATAGACACAATTGTTTTGTTCAATAACAGTGATAACTTTCTATTGTTTTCCATTGTTTTTGTACTGAGCTAATGATATTTGTTAGATCTCTCCCTAAACCTAATCCCTTGCAGAAACTTTATTGTTTATTTTATTTTATTTTATTTTATTACAATTTTATTTCGCTTCGCTCAGCTCAGCTCAGCTTAGCTTAGCTTAGTTTAGTTGAGCTCAGCTTAGTTTAGTTTAGTTTAGTTTAGTTTAGATCAGTGTACACAACCTGACAAATTTGAGATATGATACAAAGGAAAAAACTGACAAAAAGCACACCTCAGATTCTCTGGGGTCTCAGTTGAGTCTAATCACCTCTGACTCTAACTGGACAACCTGGTTACATCATGTTAGTGGTTTTGACAGTAAAGAAATGGCTACATGTAACTGTTCACGTTGTGGTCATCTCTTAGTCCTCTATCTTTGTCCTTTCCCAGATGTTTTGCTTGTCTTAGTCGACTCGTCTCTGTCCAACATCACCACTGGATGTCATAGTCATAACTCTAATGATTAAAATGGCTTTGACTCTGTGCCTAGAAAGAAAATCCTCCACCGAATCAATAAGTGTGCTGGCGGCAGAGCAACACGCAAATAGAGGCGTCACAAGCCATGACTAATTCAAACTTGCCGTGGGTTATAAAACCTTATTATAACACTCATTTGAATTAGGCTGCTGGTGAAGGGATCAGAGTCCCATTCAACCTGTATGCATACTGCTGCTGCTCAGCCAGCTAAATGTTTCCCCACTGAACTGAGGCACAGAAGGAGAAAAGGAAGAGAGAGGTATTAAAATCAGTATTCACAGCGTGTTTTAAAAGGTGTTTTTAGAGCATTCCTGTCATTTATTAAGCGGTAAAAAGCTGCTGACGCAAGTCAATTTCCTGGTTTTCTGTCCAAGTTGAATTAATTTTATTTTTATCAGCTCAGACATGAATATGAGGGGAATTGTGATGAATTGAGTGTGAAAAAAGGGAGAGGAATAGAGGTGGGGCAAAAAAATAAAGTGAGTAATTTATTTTGTATTCCAGGTAACATTTGAGAGACAGATGTGGGACAGTTTAAGACTGATGGTGGCAAGCAGAATTTCTTTTTAATATACCTTTTCCTTGCTTAATACACCAGGGTTAAGAAAAACACATCTATCTATCTATCTATCTATCTATCGTTCTATCTATCGCTCTATCGTTCTATCTATCATTCTATCTATCGTTCTATCTATCTGTCGCTTTATCGTTCTACAGTATCTATCGTTCTATCTGTCTATCGTTCTATCTATCTATTGTTCTATTGTACACTCATTTGAATTAGGCTGCTGGTGAAGGGATCAGAGCCCCATTCAACCTGTGTGCATACTGCTGCTGCTCAGCCAGCTAAATGTTTCCCCACTGAACTGAGGCACAGAAGGAGAAAAGGAAGAGAGAGGTATTAAAATCAGTATTCACAGCGTGTTTTAAAAGGTGTTTTTAGAGCATTCCTGTCCTTTATAAAGCGGTAAAAAGCTGCTGACGCAAGTCAATTTCCTGGTTTTCTGTCCAAGTTGAATTAATTTTATTTTTATCAGCTCAGACATGAATATGAGGGGAATTGTGATGAATTGAGTGTGAAAAAAGGGAGAGGAATAGAGGTGGGGCAAAAAAATAAAGTGAGTAATTTATTTTGTATTCCAGGTAACATTTGAGAGACAGATGTGGGACAGTTTAAGACTGATGGTGGCAAGCAGAATTTCTTTTTAATATACCTTTTCCTTGCTTAATACACCAGGGTTAAGAAAAACACATCTATCTATCTATCTATCTATCTATCTATCGTTCTATCTATCGTTCTATCGTTCTATCTATCATTCTATCTATCGTTCTATCTATCTGTTGCTTTATCGTTCTACAGTATCTATCGTTCTATCTGTCTATCGTTCTATCTATCTATTGTTCTATTGTTTGTTCTATCGTTCGCTCTATCGTTCTGTCTATCGTTCTATCTGTTGTTCTATCTATCTATCTTTCTACTGATCTTTCTATATAACATTCTGTCATTCTTTCTGGAAGGCCTATAAACCTTTTATAAGGTCTATACATTTTTTGACAAACTTTGCTTTTCTAGGTAAACAATTATAATAGTGAACTTTGCATTTTAATTGTAATACTTTGCAAAATTTTAATTGCAGTTCTGCATCCTGTTTGCTTCCTCAATTCAAATTCAGGAACCGAATTGGAATTTAGAAAAGGGATTGTCAGTTACATTTTGAATAGCACAAACCCCTGATATAGACATGCATAAAACAGATTCATATTGCCCTTCAATTCTTTAATTGGAACTGTGAGTCTTTTAGTTGTCTCTATGTTTTAGCATTTATGTAAGTTCACAATATTGTGTTAATATCTGTTAGTTTAAGTGGCATGTTTGTTTGTGTTTGTGGTACAGAGTGTAAATAAGGACTCTCCCTCCCTCTCTCTCCCTCCCTCTCTCTCTCTCTCCCTCTCTCTCTCTCTCTCTCTCTCTCTCTCTGTCTCCCTCTCTGTCTGTCTCTTCTGTCGCTTTAAGGAAGCATGAGGCAGGTTTAATTTTTTAACGCTCCAGACCACAACAGCAGCCATCGAGAGAGAGAGAGAGAGAGAGAGAGAACAGAAGAGGGGGAGGGAATAGAGGAATGAGAGGGGTGGGTGTGAGGACAAGAAGAGAAGGAGGGATTTTGAGTGATCGGAAAAGATGGGTTCTGACAGAGAGGGAGGGCAGAAAAAGGTAAGGGGAGGGTTTACAAAGAGATGGAAAGAGAGAACGAGGGAGTAAAGCAAAGCATGTTGCCAGTGTTGGCTCCGGAACTCACTGTGAGCGGGGACGGGAGGGAGGGAGAGCAAAAGAGAGACTGAGAGTCACACATTCACACACTCTCTCAATCACTCTCATACACACACACATAAACTCTTACATTCTCGCACAGATTCAGAGGTGCCTTGCTGAAGAGACTCTGTTACGCACACCTGCAGGGGTGAGAATATTTTAAGCAGTGAATACTGGACTAAAACAGAATACCGGAGCACTGGGACAGACCCGACAGCACCTAGGGACTTTCTTCAAACGGGACCTTTACAGCATGTGAAGCCGGACAGACAGATATGTGCACCATCTATCCTTAACATTCCTTCATTTCATCCCTCCATCTGTGCCTCCCTCCCACCTCTCCTCTCAAGTGGTGTGAAGGACACGGAGCTACGAGTTCCTCAGTGCTCTCTGCCTGGTTGCCTTACGGGAGTCTGGGGAGGCTTGGTGCTCCCCTTCGCTCTCCTGCGCTCTCACTCGTTCATGAATGTCACCTCTATCTGCGGAAGCCCTTGGAATTTACAAACACTCTCTCAGGAGCTTGGGGAGAGGGAGCAAAGGGGAATGTCAGAAGGGCTGAGGAGGGAGAGAACTTCCGATTCCTTTCATCCTTATCCATCTGATCATCCACAGACATGAGTTCCATGGTTGACGACACCAGTTTTTGACTTTTACTTAGTGCGTCTGTCTTTGTTTTTTGTTTTTTGCAGTCATAGTGTCATAAATGCGATACTTCGGAATCAGGTAATGGAGTTTTACTAAGATTGTAAATATCTCAGGATATTGATCCTTTTCTCAGTAGGATCTGTATTTTAGTTTGTTTTATGCATCCATCGATCTTCTCCGTTTTACGAGGATCGCACTGATATGTTCCCTATTTACACATTTTTTCTGAACTTGCAGAATGATTTTTGATCTGTGAGATTTCTGAAGATCAATCCCACACTAAACTGTGGAAGGGAAGTGAGAGACCAGGGCTTCTGGGAGCCCGGAGCTTCAGGGAATAGAGTCGAACAGAGGGTATGGTGGTGCTGTGGTGGCTCACTTATCTTCCAGAATTCCAGTATAGCTCCATGGATCATCTGATGCCACTTGTCCTGTCCGTATGCTGTGCAACGAGACCTGAAATACAACAAACAATCCCAACAACGACAGCTGCCATTCATCACAATCACAACACCAGGAATTCTGCATTCCAGGGACTATTTTGATAGCCAAAGAAACAAATAAAGTTTATTGTGAACTTCACAAGTGTTTTGCCCCACCCCCTTTACCCCTCTAAAACCAAGCCCCTTTTTGTTCCCTATCAAGTTGTGACGCATTCTCCCCTTGGTTATTGTGGGAGACCCCGCTGTACTCCGAACATCTACAGACTCCTGCTCCTGTCCTCCGTGGCCCTGGGGGATCGGACAGGTGGGTGGCCCACTGACGCCCTCTGCGCCCTACGGGTGAGCGGGGCACAGCAAAATGGCTGCCCTCGCCAGCTCGCTGATCCGGCAGCGCAGGGAAGTCAAGGACCCCCAGGCCAACCGGCAGATTTCCACCAAACGCAAGCCTTGCCCCAAGAGCAACAAGTCGCTCTGCCAGAAACAGATCCTCATCCTCATCTCCAAAGTCCGGCTTTGCAGCAGTCGAGGACGAAAACTAGAAAAAAGACCAGGTGAGTTGCCCAAAACACTTCAAACTTCAAACCTTCTGTCTTGCTTGAAATACTCTTGAGTTTTGCTATATTCTAAAGACTGATCAAACAGAACGTGTTTTTTGCAGTGAGAGGCGCCTTTTTAAATTGTTTTCTATTGGCAGTGAGTGTTTTGCACGCTGTTTATGCGCCCAGGGTGCCTTGCGTTTTGGCCGCCTGCTGCACCTCGCGTTTTTGACTCTGAGCGGAAAAGCGCGTAACGTCATTCACGTTTTTTTTCCCATTGTCCAATCGAATGAATGGAGAGGTGGGCCTTCCGTTGTGATGACGGAAATTTACAGTTGCTGGGAACGTCCAGAGCCTGCAATGATGGAGGAGAAACTTGTGGTGGCTGTCGCAGGTTACACGGAGCTGTATTTTTTTCAAGTTTCTGCTAATATGACAGTTTACTTAACAGCAAACCAACGATTTTAGAGTGCTCGACTATAATCCTTCATTAGACTGACAGGACAGCTGACTCGGTGGTTGCCTAGCAACATTAAAAAATGCAGCTCACTGCTCTTTTCTAAATTAAAAAAAGTAAACCAAAAAAAGGCAGTGCGGTGCACCTCGCGTTTTCAAACCTGAAAAATGCGTTCTGTGTGATCTAAGTCTGTCGACTTCCATTGAGTTCAAACAGTGAGGGTGGCATTAGCAAATAGGATTGACATGGACATAAGAAGTAATGTCTTTGAGTTATGACATGTTAACTGATAAGTGATTGGTTTTGAAAGACCTCTGAGACCATGGTAGTTCAAAAATGAGGCTGTTTAGATGGCATATATAATATAGTGTCAGTCAAGGGTTATTGTTGACTATTCAGAAAGTATGACTGATCAAATCTAAACCCTTCTGCGTTCTCTTTCTTGCTTGCATGACATTTAACAAATTAATCAAATCATTAACCCACCTTCAAATTCTGTATGGCTTTCTTTCTTCTGTGGAAAACAAAAGAAGGTATTTTGACAATATTCATCCTGTTTTTGTCCATACAGTAAAAGTCAGTGGGGTTCAGTGTTGTTTTGAACCCCATTGTCTTTCACTGTATGGATAAAAACATTTGAAACATTGTTCAAAATATCTTCTTTTATTTTCAGAAGAAGAAAGAAAGTTGTACAGGTTTGGAACTGCATGAGGGTGAGTAAATGATTAATTTTAGGGTGAACTATCCCTTTAAGAATGGACATTTCCACTGTATATCATAGTGGGTATGAGTGAATGTGATCCTTGAGACTTTGAAGGTTGACTGTCATCTAGTCTCTACTGAAGAGCGTGTGTCGAAATAGCAAGTTTATGTTGTCTGGGACCCAGAGCTGCACGTCGCTTTGTAATCGTTCTGATCATTTCGCTGCATGTCTATGTACTGCTATTGACAACACCTGTTAATTTACGTTCACCAACGAACCTGATACACGCTGTGATCCTTCACACGCACATAAAAATGTCACAGTCTCATTTACGATGAAAGGTTCCAGTCTTTCCCTCCCTTCTATCCCCCCACCCACCAGTAGAAACCATGTGTTTGTGAGTGTGTTTGTGGGGGGGTCATACGTTTGCATTATTAACCCCAATGAGACGTTACCCTGTCTGAATAATCATTCAACTGAAGAGCCAGGTAGCATAGGACTGGTGGCTTATATTTTAAGATATCATGGGAGAACAGATAGAACAGAATCACATCAGACTGTTTTTGTGTGTGTCTTAATATTTCCTGAAAGATCACCTAAGTCTTTTTTTCTTTATAGCTTTATGAAAACTGCATTTCATATAAATGTTTTTATTCATAAAACAAAAGCAAAATTTTGCCCCTATATACATACATTCATTAATTTTCAGAAACATGCACAAATTTATAAAACATCAAACTGTTTATGCCATTAAAAGCATAGGGGACTGTAGAGTTTGATAAAGTGGATAATTGCTAACTGAAATTTACATTTATCCAAAGTGACTATCCAAAGCATTTTATCTTTAGAGGCACAATATTAAGTATAAGCACATTAGTATACATTATAAGGCAGAAGTGAAATGCACTCTGAAAATGCAGAGGAGAAAAGAGTGAACTATTTATTTATTTATTTTATGAAATATCATTATTATATTTAATTTAATTTAATTTATTTATTATATAATTTTAAATATGAGGTATAGGAAGTACTTTTGTTTATGGTTGAATAAATGTGATTTTGCAGTATGAATTTGACTTCATGACCCCTCTGGCTTTCTGGTTAAAAGATGGGAAGGGATTACCCAGTAAATGGGTAATTTAAAAAAAAAAAGAAAAAAGAAACTTTATTTTTTAATGCAAAGTACAATACTTTGCATGGCCTGAAAGAACATTGATGTAGATTTTTAAAATAGAACAGTGAGCTCCCCATGGCACATTTCAAACAGAGATAGTAACGGTCTAAAGAACTGCCTATGAATATTTGCATTTGTGCTTATGTTGCTTATGTAGAAGTACAGGTGAGACCTGGGTTGTATTTCTCACTGGGGCTGATTTTGGACCAGATTGTGGACTAGACCAGTGGGTGCCATACATAAGAGTACCTTAAGCTGGTTGTGGGGAATACTTGGAATTCAATGGGATTTCTATTCTGATTGTTGAAATTCATTACAAAATATGTTGAGAAAATATTAGGTAAATAAAAACTAAAATGGTAAAGTGTTATTTATAATGGTGATTTTTAATCAAATTAATGATAATCCTGTAAGTGGTGGTTGAGCCTTGCTGATGGGACTTTGTGGATACATAAGACAAGAAAAGTTGGGAAATACTGAGCTAGATTCAGTCATTCACAAATCCACTCTCCTGAGGGTCCCATTCTTTATTAGGGCCCAGCTGTGCACGTGTCACCAGGGTGGGATATTTATGACGTGTATCCCAAGTTAATCACAGTAATCACCATGGAAACCATAGTCCCGTAACACGGCATCTGCTGCCGCAAAGTGCCTCACGCCAAGTGGTAATTACACCTATGAAAAATGGTGGCAGTTGGTGGTATTTGACGCAGTAAAGGAAGAAATGTTTTCTGCCATTTTGGGGTGTATGTATAGGTTGGGCTGCTGCAGTAAAGCTCACATCCTATGCTTTTGTTATGTTAACGATGACTGGATGATTTTGCCTGCCTTTTGATGGATAGGATCAGAGAGAGAGCACTTATATAGTGTTGGCTTCTCAAAAGCACGCTTTTGCCTGTCAACACAAAACTAGAGAGGGAGCTGCTTAGTACATGGAGTGCTGTCTGCTTCTGTAGTTCCCTTTCCTTCTCTGATTCTGAATAAGAGTATCTTACATAAATTTTAAATCATCTTACTTTTTATTTTTGCTGTCTATTTCTGTCTTATTCTTGCTTATATCTCTCATGCTGCAAATGGGTTGACCGTTAAATAAAGTTTAACTTGATTAAATAATTAGCTGTTAGGATAAGATTCTAGTTTCAATGCAAGGGGTGAAATTGATAGACATTTCTACATGGTGTATATCATTAAATGTGGCACATTTTGATTTAGTCCACATTTAAATTTTTGGTCCTAATGTAATGTAATGTAATAAATATAAATATATTATATAATAAATATAATATAATTAATAATAGTACTAATATAATAACATAATATTAATGCTAAGTATTAAATCCTAAAGTAAATCCTATATTATATTATATTATATTATAGAGAGAGACGCACATCTATATAGCTAGATTGATTTTTTTAGGGGGGTGGGATTGAAACTGAAAATTTGAATAGACTCTGATGAATCACATGATGTTGACTATGTGACAGATTAAATCTGTGTCAATGTTCCTGAAATGTTGTGTCAAGTGAGATTAACAGACATTAATGACCACCGATCACCAATCACAAAAGCCCACTCAGCATTTAACAAGGTCATCCGCATCCCCCCAGCCCAACACTGCACCAAAACACACTCACACACACACTGAATACCAGGTGCACACATACACACACACACACACACACACACAGAGCTTGAGCTATGAATTCATTTGTCACTTTTAAATAGTGAGTGGGATTTTAATCAGCAAACTTGAAGGAAACTGTAATGATGCAAAGTGTTCTAATCAGAGACTGAACACACACACACACACACACACATACATTCTTCACCCGTAGGACAAGCTAAACATGATGTTTGTGTAAAGGTTATCCTTTTATCTCAAGAGTGTGTGTGTGTGTGTGTGTGTGGGTGTGTGGCAATTGATAACGGATATTTGTATGCGTTGCGGTGTTTGCAGATCGTTGGAGCACTTCATTGTTACTGGGTGATTCATTCGTCCACACAGTCTGCCTCTTATTAACACCTTCTGATTCATCAATAACACTCTCCTGTCCTGCTCTCCTCTTTTCATTCATCTCTTTTCCAACACTCTCCATTACAATTCCTAATCTCACCCAGGACTGTTGCCACACTCTCCCACTGTCTCATTATCTTATGGTGTAGCATCTCTTCTTACTGTGAGTCTGTCCTCTTGTTCATGCTCTCCTGTGTTTTCTCTCTCTCTGCTTTTTTTCTTTAAGTTTAAAGTTGTAATGATGTCAGCTGGCTAGGGCCGTTTGTCTCGTGTTGACAGTGGCACAGACAGTCATTGTGAGTATATAATAGTGAAGTTGCCTGCACTGTTTCTGGGCTATTGTCCTGCTGTTATGGGGCAACTGCAGACTACTGCCTTCAAGCTCATTAATCTGTGTTTGTATGTGGACATAATTCTTTCTCTTTGGGTTTGTAGCCCAGGTGACATGTATTCACCTATTGTCTTTCTCTTTTCTGTACTCAATTGTGTGCTCACAGATTAACAGCTTTACTATAATGAAGTGTTTTGGCTGTGTTTGGCTAAAGGAGCACTTAAGGCCTGTTCACACCAAGAATGATAACTATAAAGATAACTATAACAATAACTATATTAACATACTATAACATTCTGTTTTTGTAAGTGTGTGGTGCAGTTTTGTTGTCTGAG